TTATGATCCACACAATCAAATGCATTTGTGTAGTCAATAAAACACAAGTAAATGTCTTTCTGCTATTCTTTGCTTTGAGCCAAGATCCATCAGACATCAGCAATGATATCCTTCATTCCACGTCCTCTCCTGAATCATTTTGCATTTCTGGAAGTTCTCTGTCAATATACTGCTGCAACTGTTTTTGAATTATCTTCAGTAAGATTTTACTTGCATGTAATATTAATGATATTGTTCAATAATTTCCACATTCTGTGGGATCACCTTTCTTGGAATGGGTAAAAATATGGATCTCTTCCAGTCACTTGGCCAGGTAGCTGTCTTCCAAATCTCTTGGCATAACCAAGTGAGTACCTCCAGCAGAGCATCTGTTTGTTGAAACATTTCAATGGGTATTCTGTCAATTCCTGGAGCTGTATTCTTCCCCAATTCTTTCAGTGCAGCTTTGATTTCTTCCTTCAATACCATTGGTTCTTGAACATATGCCACCTCCCAAAATGGACGGAGATCGACCAGGTCTTTTTGGTACAGTGACTCTGTGTATTCCTTCCATCTTCTTTTGATGCTTCCTGCATCACTCAATATTTTGCACATAGAATCTCAACATTGCAACTTGAGGCTTAAATTTTTTCCTCAGTTCTTTCAGCTTGATAATGCTGAGCATGTTCTTCCCTTTTGGTTTTCTAACTCCAGGTCTTTGCACATTCCATTACAGTAATTGGCTTTGTCTGCTCGAGCTGTTCTTTGAAATCTTCTGTTCAGCTGTTCTATCTTGTCATTTCTTCCATTTGCTTTAGCTACTCTTCACTCAAGAAAGTTTCAGAGTCTCTTCTGACATCCATTTTGGTCTTTTCTTTCTTTCTTATATTTTTAATGACCTCTTGCTTTCTTCATGGATGATGCTCTTGATACCATCCCACAGTTCTTCTGGTTTTTGGTCATTTGTGTGCAGTGCATCAAATCTATTCTTTAAATGTTCTCTAAATTCAAGAGGGATATATTCAAGGTCATATTTTGGCTCTTATGGACTTGTTTTTATTGTCTTCTACTTTAAGTTGAACTTGCATATGAGCAGTTGATGTTCTGTTCCACAATCAGCTCCTGGCCTGGTTTTAGCTGAAGATATTGAACTTTTCCATTGCCTCTTGTCACAGATGTAGTCAATCTGATTCCTGTGTACTCCATCTGGTGAAGTCCACGTGTATAGCCACCGTTTGTGTTGTTGAAAAAAGGTATTTGCAATGAATAAATCGTTGGTCTTGCAAAATTCTATCATGAGATCTGAGTATTATTTCTGTCACCAACACCAAATTTTCCAACTACCAGTGATTGTTCTTTGTTTCCAACTTTGAATTCTAATCACCAGTGATAAACAAAACATCTTGATTGCATGTTCAGTCAATTTCAGACTGTAGAAGTTGGTAAAAATCTTCAATTTCCTCATCTTTGGCTTTGGTGGTTGGGGTGTAATTTTGAATAATAGTAGTATTAATGGTTCTTCCTTGTAGGCATATGATATTATCCTATCACTGACAGCATTGTATTTCAGGACAGATCATGAAACTTCCTTTGTGATAATGAATGCCACACCATTCTTCTTCAATTTGTCATTTCTGGCATAGTAGATCATATGGTTGTCTGATTCAAAATGCCCAAAACACGTCCATTTCAGCTCACTAATGCCTAGGATATCAATCTTTATGTGTTCCATTTCATTTTTGACAATTTCCAATTTTCCTAGATTCATACGTCATACATTGCATGTTCCGATTATTAATGGATGTTTGCAGCTGATTCTCCTCAATTTGAGTCATGCCATGTCAGCACATGGAGGTCCCGAAAGTCTTACTTTATCCATATCATGAAGGTTGGTTCTACTCTGATGAGGCAGCCCTTTCTCAGTCCTATATTGAGTGCCTTCTGACCCTAGGGGTTCGTCTTTCTGCACTGTGTCAGACAGTGTTTTTAAGCTATTCTTAAAGTTGCTCAGAAATATATCAGACAGTGTTTCTCTGCTATTCATATGGTTTTCCCTGGCCAATTTTTGAGAAGTGGATGGCTTTCTCCTTCTTCCTACTCTGTCTTAGTCTAAAAGTTGCATCTAAACCTGTGCACCATGTACAACTCTGCTGACATCTGAAACACCAGTGGCACAGCCTCAAGCCTCACAGCAATGTACAAGCCTCACAGGATAATAAACTGATAGACAAGTTTGTCTCCATTACCTGTTGGAAACCTCTGCATCCTCCCCTTACCTAATTCCTACCTGGAACCTGCCACTTTGTGGTCCCTGGCTGCTCTCTCCCTTTCCTTGTTCTAGGGGGCTTGGGGCCTATCCTTGCCTCCCTCCCCTTTATCTGGACATCCTGCCACTCCGGAGGTCCCAGGCCTCTCCTGCTCCCTCCCTTTCCTGGCTCTAGTGGGCTTTGGGCCTACCTTTGTCTCCCGCCCCTTTTTGCCTGATATCCTGCCATTCTGGAGGTCCCTGGCCTCTCCAGCTCCCTCCCTTTGCTGGCTCTAGAGGGCTTGGGGCCTAGGCTTGCCTCCTGCCCTTTTTTACCTGGACATCCTGCTGCTCCACAGGTCCCTGGCCCCTCCTGCTCCTTCTCTTTCCTAGTTCTAGGGGGATTTTGGCCTAGCCTTGCCTCCTGCCCCTTTTTACCTGGATATCCTGCCACTCTGCAGGTCCCCGGCCTATCTTACTCCCTCCCTTTCCTGGCTCTAGGGTGCTTGGGGCCTATTCTTTAGAAGGTCTCTAAATTCAGGAAGGATAAAATCAAGGTCATATTTTGTCTCTTGTGGAGTTGTTCTGTCTTCAAGTTGAACTTGCATAGGAGTAGTTGGTCTGTTCCACAATCAGCTCCTGGCCTTGTTTTGGCTGAAGATATTGAGCTTCTCCATCACCTCTTGCCATAGATGTAGTCAATCTGTTTCCTGTGTACTCCATCTGGCAAAGTCCATGTGTATAGCTGCCTTCTGTGTTGTTGAAAAAAGGTATTTGCAATGAATAAGTCCTTGGTCTTGC